TATATATATATATATATATATTACACGTTTATGAGGAACAAAGGCCAATATAATTGCTTTCGACTGTTTATACCTAGCTATTGTACTCACATGTATACGTACTTTATCTGCACTGTAAATCTGTAGGTGTGCAGTTCACATAATATATATTAAGCATTTCATTGTAACAACCAAATCGTTAAATTAAAGTTTACTACATCAGGGGTGTAAAACATTATACAATATCTTTGGGTCAATTAAAAAAAAAAAAAAAAAAAAAAAAAAAAAAAAAAAATTATGTCAGACTTTGTTGAGTTGGTCAAACGGTTGATTAATTGATATGTATTTATTTGATTACTAATAAGTCCATCATCATTATTTTAAAGCATTAAAAAAAAAAAAAATTAATTTCAACTAATCACCTTATAACCGTGTTTATATTTAAAAATACTGGGATTTGTAGCGTGTGAAGGTATATAACCTATCATGCATTTTGGTATGAAAAATCGGTATTTTTATCGACGTACACGTAGGTACCTACTTTCGGAACAAAAAAAAAAAAAAAGGTTCCCTACTCCCATAAAATTCGCTCGCGTCACCCACGATACACATCGGAAATTCCACTCCCCTCGCAATTTCATCCTTGAGTATATATGCTTGGCGCAACCGGACGCGTTTAAACTTTCGGAGGATTTCAACGTTGAGTTAATAATAACAACGATGATTGTACTACAGTGTTCCGAGCCACTTTGGCCGATAACTCCCCGAAAGCCCCTTTTTACTGCAGCGACACATCATACCGAAGAGCAGGATCTTTTCCATCGGATTTAAATCGAGAAGGAAAGTCGTGACCGCGGGTAAACCGTATATTTATCACGAAAAAAAGAAAACGCAAGTATAGTTACATATATCGCATACATCGAGAGAAAGAGAAGGAGAAAAAGATGACCCCTTCTTTTTATACATAGATTATAATATAATATATGGGTGCGTCCAAGCAGAACCCATGTACCGAAAGTAAAGGTTTGCACGTATAGGTGTATATATATATGTATATAGACGAGTACTGCCGATTTAATATCAAGCGTCACTCAGTAGTACATGCACAAGTACCTATACATTCATCCACACATAGAGACACACGTATAGTAACGGTTAAGTAATACCTTCATATAAAAACAAAATCAGCGCCTCGATCCCATTATAAGTATATTTATATTGTATAGCGATATACAGCACGACTGCTATACGAGCGTATACATATGTATATACACTGCACACGCAAGGCGCAAAAGAGCGGCTCGACTTTTGCCGTTTGTTTGGTCGGTGCCGAGCGACCGGCAAGCCGTTTCAGTCTCTGCCGCGCGACTCGAGCAAGAACATTGTACCCACGTATAGTACACTCCCGCGGGCGCGCGATGCGGTCTAGCGGAGTTGTCACCACCGACACTTGCTCTCTGCTCGCTGGATCGTGAGGTCGCTTCTTTCCCGTCTGTCTGTCTAACGTTGGTTTATCTTCGTTGTACCTTAACGGAGGCGCGTCGTATGTACAAATATAAGATGCACCTGTGCGACTGTTTCTGGTGATCGATCGAGGACCTATCGTTGGATTTTTTGTTTGTTTGTTTGTTGCACTTTTCGTCCAGGATGGCGTGCAATGCGTGAGTTTGGCCATTTTCCTTATACTTTTGACGGGCGGGAAAGCGGACGGTAACGGAAATATCTGTCTACCTACGAGTTTCATTTTCACCGGCGAAGCTTTAAATTTCTGCGCGTTGCATAAATCGGGGCGGCGGTACATAGGAGAAAAAGCAAAACCAGATTCGCGGTTGAGCCGAATCGTGTTTCCAATTTGGCGAGGGATATACTACAGGCTGACGCTCGATGAATGAGCCGAGTTTAATTAAACTGGCGCGCGAGAGCCGATAAGCCCGGTTATACGTGTACCCGCTACCTTGTATCCCGCTGTTTGGACGTTATAGTTTATCGCGAACTTGGTTTTGGCGTCAAAAGCTTCTTTTTTTTTTTTTTTTTTATAAAAAAATGTGTGCATCAGTAAGAAAAAAAAAAAAAAAAAAAAAAAAAAAAAAACAATTTCCCCCGCGAGATCACGGATCGATGTATAAATATATGCAAATCCGCAACAGATCACTCTTGAATACGCTCGCGTTGCGCAACAACTACATTCCAACGTACATCCGTCCACATCGCGCGCCGATCGATCGGCCGATCGTCACCTCGAACCCGCCGTAAGTGTATACATATATACACTTATAACCGGCTGTCGCGAACATGAAAAAAAAAGAAAACATTATAGTAAAGTAAATAAAAAAAAAACTTGTCCACACGCGCGTGCGCTCCCGTACTTTCACTATATAACTTACCGATCTCCCGGTGCAGCGAATAGGTAGCAGCCAACGCGGGAAATTACATTCCGCGCGAAAGTGAAAAGAGCGCGATATATATCGCATTGTGAGTGCAACGTGTGTTATATATATGCTGCTGCTGCGTGTCGTTTTTCTTATATATTATGCACACGTGTAAATAAGGTATACTTTGTTGTTTTCTTTCGATCCAGGCCGCGATCCTCGAGCTGTTCGATGTACAAACGTAACGATGCTTGCATTGTATACCAAGATAAGGGAGAAATGGTTGAACGAAACTCGCGATGCTGCGACTTTTTGATGATGCTGCATCGGGGTACATATAGTATACGATGTATAGGAATATATACCAGTATTTCCTGTCTTGTTCTCATGATTAGATTGTTACAAGTCAAATTACAATTGCGCAACCCATATTATTCTTAGGCGCCTGTACGTGCCTGATCGATCGCGGACGCCCAAAGGGTGTTTCGCAATGGATCAAAATCAATCAACACCCAACAGAGAAAGATAATCGATGACTACTCCTTCCGCGCCGAAAATATTATATCGTTCGGTGAAGAAAAAAGGCCGATCGATCGAGTCATCGGATATCGGTAATCGCGCGCGAGAAATCGGCACATAGTCCAACGCCCGACGTTATACGAAGCGCCTTTACGTAACGCGATTTAAAAAACTCGGGGCTGTAATGACAGCTCATTGGGCAGAAAAAAAAAAAAAATTGGCATGTACACCACATGTACATTGGGTATAATTTAGCACCCGATGTAAAAATAAGTAGAAGCTCGTTTTTGCCGTGAATCTTACAAAACGCGCCTCACACATGCGCGTGTACACATTGTACGTACACGTTTCCGCGTTTTTCCTCTCCCTCCCGGCCGTGCAAAATGTACTACATAAATCTGCCGATTGCCGAGGTGAAAAATATAAATGTATACGCGTGTGCGGGCAATAAACAAAACCGCGTGTATAGTGCCGATAAAGTTCACGCGCTAACCGGTGAGTTGTTTTCCGCGCGAGAGCTTTTTTTACCCACCTCTTCAACGTCCGCATGTTGTATACCTGTATATACGTAACCGCGTGACAGAGCAAGCCTCTTGCTCCGCGACACAGTGCTTATTGAATTTGTAACATTTGGAACAAAAAAAAAAAAAAAAAAAAATTTGTTTTCACTTGTAACCCACTACACACGCACCACGTGTGCGCCTTGTAAAACAAACATCGGCAATTGTCTGGCTGTGGTGCACAATATATAATATGTAACAGTCGCGGAGAGCACCCGCGACTAATTAACTTCCGCTTCTATTCAACTCTCTCGCGTCTTTCGTGTGTGTGTGTGTAAATCGTACGAGAGCCTTTCGCCTTGTGTTGTGTGTACCTACACGTGCATGCAAAAATGACACTTGTCGCCTCACCGCACGTATAAGCACTTTGGTATATACGAAAGGAATATCGGGAGCAAAAAAACTCGCCCACTTCCGCTTCCCGATGCGCCTTTCCGAGGCGGTTCGGGTGTGCTTTCGGGAGGGAGGGAGGGAAGTAACGAGCCGTATAAGCACTCATCCGTAAGATCGACGCCCAAAACCGAGGGAGCCGAGATGAACGCATAAGAAGGAAAAGGAGGAAAAGAAACCTTCCGACTTCCGCGGAGCGAGAGCTGCGCTTGCAGTTTACACTGCAGTGTGTGTGTGTGTATATAGGCGCAGGCATTGGGCTATTAGGTGTATATGTAAGAGCGCGTAAACTTCCGTGCAATCAGATGCGCCTACGTTTGAAAATATGCTTATACCCGATGGAAAATCAAGTGGAGTAGAGTAGAACGAATTTCTTTTGTTGCGTTGCATGAGCGCCCGTGATGGAAAACAACCTTCTTTTTTTTTTTTTTTTTTTTTTTTTTGGTCCGTTTTATCTAAAAGACGAGCTTTTAATTTACGTACCTATATGTACAGGTAATATATTGGCAAAAATTGCGAAACCTATACTTGCAAACATTTTGAAACGTGAGCACGTGCGTTTTGCTTGAAATCTACTTGTCAAGTTTAGATGAGTGTGAGTAACAAAATTAAAAAAAAGTAATTTATCAAACGCTTCTTTCGAGATAAAAACATAAACATTTTTTCAGTAGTTGCATACGGCAATTTTCGTCGTAATAAAAAAAATGACTTTGAGCGATCGAGTCGCGTTTTGCGTGAGCTATTGTGAAATCGGGGCGTTTACTCAAGCGTTTACAGCTCGAGTCATTGGGTCAGTCGATAGTGTTCCACATAGAGTTAAACGCCCATTGCGATTTCCCGCGAAACTCCCGCTTGGACGGACACGCGCCTTTTGTCATTGCACCCATACGATTTTCTTTTTAAATTTTATCGTTTCGCACAATATAAGTATAATTCAAGTATTGCTGCCACTTGAGTGGACACCGGACCGCGACACAGTGTTACATCCGGCCGAGGATCGCCATCGTGTCGGGTGAGAGGCGCATATAATTTTCTCGAAGCAGCTTGAAAAAAAACCTCACGTTCGCACCATTCGAAGGTAGGCTTTTTTCACGTTTCGACCGCCAAAAAAAAAAAAAAAAAAAGACGAAGGATACAATTCAAGGGCAGCACGTGCGCGCGGTTCGACTTTGAATTTCACCCGAGTTGAAATTTAATTCGATGCAAGTACTTGCCGCGTGTGCCAAAGGGTATATCAGCTGGAAACGAATGAAGCTGATTTTTTGTTGTTTTTTTTGTCCCATGTGACACGCGCAAAACAATGATTCAGATGCAGTGGAATTTTCATTGTGTACAAAATAGCCAAGTTGCCTTGCAAGGGTATATATAATGTCTACGAAGTGTTTGTGCGTTATTGACGGATCGATGAGGTGCGTTGTGTATGTCTGCCTATAAATATACACAACTCCGTAATTGTACAAGTTACGCGTTACGCAAGTTATATGTGTATATTATAGCTTTGCGTTACCAAAATCATTATGAAGATGGAAGGAAAGTGCCTTCCGTAACGTGAAAACGTTGATAATATGCCTAACGTGTACGAGGGTACAGGCTTCCCAAGAAGAAGCTCCGATGGAGTTACAAACAGGTACGAGACGCGCCGTTGGCGAATTAAACGGTCGATGCCTCGTTTGAATATTACACGCGCGTGCAATATCGAATCGTTATCTAACGATCGAGAATTTTTTTTTTTCTTTCTTTTTTTCAGAAAGAAACCAAGAGAGAGAGGCTGCCTTGTTTGCGTAACCGTGTGTCATGTAGCTGTACCTTCGGAAATAAATTTTACACGGCCCGTGGACAAATTTTTGTTTTTACGAAAAAAAAAAGGCGCGTTTATACGTTTCCAAAAAAATTGCCTATGCGATGTATACCGGAGGTTACAGTTAACAGTTATGGGTATATAATATACGTGTTTGCTCTCGGTCATGCGCTTCCAAACTCCGTGAATTTTCAAATAAAATTAACGCGCACGCACACGCGGCGGTAGAAAATTCGTGTGCTCCTCCCCAAGGCCGTTTTCAAAGACCACGGAAACCATGCGGGAGAAATCTCCGACCTGTGAAAGAAAAATAAAATAAAAAAAAAAAAAGAACGATGAGCGAGTGTATGTGTATACGTATACCACGCGAAAAGATGAGGAGTTGAACGACCGTAGACGCCTAATTTCAAGGACGCGAGTGTCGTACCGGATCGTCGTAGTCAACGGGAAACGGCTACCGTGACTTTTCTGTAATACCTTATACTCTGCGATGTCGAAACCCGTGCGCCGGTCATTAACTTTTATCCGGTGTATTGATTCACGCGCGTGACCATGAAAGGTTTTTTCCTTCTTCTATACGTCACACGTGGTCAATAATTTCATTGTCATCGTAACACGCGCGACACTGCATGTAATAGGTACAATATTGCTTGCGAGTGTTTTTTTTTTTTTTTGTTTGTATCGATAACGCATATCAGCTCGTGGAAAAATCCACGGGAGGAATTTCGTTGATGATCGAAGCGTTGACGAAATCGAGCCCGAAATAACTCCCGCCTGGATCTTGATAAAAATGTCCGATGAAGAAGAAAAAAGGAATAAACAATTCAGGTCACAAAAAACACGGCAAGTATCGGTATTGCGCAACCTGCAGCATCTTTTTTTTCCCCCTCAGTCACCTTCTCTCGGTATATGGGATCGTCGTCCACGTGTCTATATCCATACGTACTTCGTGAGAGGCACACACACACACACACGTGCGAATATTATGCAATGGGCAAAAAACTTGTTCGCGATCCCTCGAGACG